TGGCTGAAAATTGCAGATTTCTTCGATTTCATTATTTTGACGAGCGTCTGATTTTACCACGATGTCTCACAAATATAGTCGGCCTACTTTCAGTAGCGGATGGTGAAAAAATTAACGTGATGAAAACTTACAAGGACTAAAAGCTTGAATAACAACTACATTTTTATGACCATCATTTTTCTTTTGTTTTAGAGAAAGGTATGCAACGCTCCCCGACAGAGGGAGTGTGTAGTTTTTGTGACCTATATCTGTCTGTTGTCGTGACCTACTTCTGTCTGTTGATGTGACCTACATCTGTCTGTTGTTGTGACCTACATCTGTCTGTTGTTGTGTCCTACATCTGTCTGTTGTTGTGACCTACTTCTGTTGTTGTTGTGACCTACTTTTGTTGTTGTTGTGTCCTACATTTGTCTGTTGTTGTGTCCTACATCTGTCTGTTGTTGTGTCCTACATCTGTCTGTTGTTGTGTCCTACATCTGTCTGTCTCCATAATTAATGTGTGTCATCTGTAATCAAAAGAGCGTACGTCTGCAGGTTCCTTCCAGGGGCTCTCGTGGCCCAGATGTTTAGGTGTCCGTCACTCATTCAATAAGACCCGGGTCCGAATCCGGAGAGCGACGGAAAATTTCTTCTCTAAAAATGTTCTCCTTTCACCTCCTTTCCTGCTCTCTAACTATGTTCTGTCGTCTGCTTTCGCCTCCACTTTCTGCCGAAACCACCTCACCTCCTTTGCCCAATACTCAGGGCTCCTGACTTTTTCTGCAGCCTTTCTACTCCTACTCCTTGGCTCATTCTTACTGCTGTCTTTCATTCACACCCCTGATCTTCTGGTAGTCAAGATCTATACCTAGCCTTCTTGGATAAGGGCGAAAAATCTCGGACGACCGGTGTGCAATTTGCGTTCGATAAATATCCTTTAGTGGTCCAAAATCGATATGAGTAGTCTTCGGCCGCCCGCAGGGCAAAATTCAAATTTTTCTACCAACTGAAAATGTTTGATGTGTCCTGCGTGCTCATATGACCTGATGCAGTTGAGAGCGCCGTAAAACATCCAGAACCAGATCTGCGGCAGACATCGGTGATCATGGTTCAGTTGGTTCTCCATTCATTCCTTTGCTGGGATGTTCTTAAAAAGCTACGTTTCCATGATCTTTCCCCTTTACCCGTAATATATTGTTCAGGTTCCCTAAGTAGGTTGTTCTGGGCCTACCCCTGCCTCGTTTGCCCTCAATTTTGCCAGTGAGAGCTAGATGTTCAAGAACTTTATGTCTATCCGGGTGTTCCAAAAACTACATTTACAATTTGTCGTTTCCTGATTGTTTTTAACAGTGAGCGTCCCACGTGGGCTTCATTAAGCACAACCTCATATTTTGATTTATTTTTCTTCCAAGATATTCCACAAAACACTTACCAA